AATGAAAAATATAATAAAATAAAATGGGTTATAAAAAGCAGAAAAAAGTTTCTTACATTAAGTATTCACTTTAATGTTTTCATTTTGTTTTTTATTTAGCACTGATAAAGCTAAACTATTAAATACACAATATAAAATAAATAAATCATATTTATAGAAATAAGTCACAAAAGTGCTTTTTTAGCACTAATGAAGCTAAATAAAATACAATAACATTTAGCACTGATTAAGCTTTATGATACCATACTGTAAATATTTTCATATATATTCAACAAGACAAAATTTACACAACTAATTTACACAATTTACAAACTGAATTTACTGAAACTGCCTTGTTGAACAGTCTACATTTCAATAATTATCTTGTCTTGTGAAATATACTTTAATATCTGTTATGCAGCGTGCTTTGGGAAGTACTTAATAAAAAGACAAACTCAGTTTTAACTCTTATATACTGTATATACAGATTCCGAAATGGGTTTGTAAACTTATGAGCCGTGTGCAACTTTCATGGTCTGAAAAATCTTGCCCTCCAGAGTTGCAGAGGAGGAAATATATGACTGAAATAAGGAAACAAAGAAATTGTGGTCACAGCTATGACTAAGCACTTTCCAGTGAAGCAGTTATAAAGTACAATACAAAGAGCTGTAAATACTAAGAAAATTCCTGCTCAAAATACCTACACAGGGAGACTGTTGGTGTGAAAGTGGGTGTAAGAGAGCTGCAGCTCTTGCCTGGGTCTCGTGTGCACACCTGAGGTCTACTATTTAAGAGCATGTCAAGCCCTTAAGCAGGATAATGAACTAAGTGTGGCCTGTACCTTTCACTTTCATTAGCCTGCCCTGCTAAATGGCTCACACTCTTAAAAACCTCTGACTGCTGCTATTTAAGTCCTTTACGGACTTTGCTCTGTCAACACAGTATAGATTACTCATTAAAGCACCTGAATGAAAAACAGCCAGTGTTTTCTTTATGTACTGTGAGGTTGGTAAATACAGCTTATTTTTCTAGTGCAGCTATTGAGAGTTTCGCAGTGACTGAGAGGACAACATCCACTGTGACCGCAATGATATTTAAATGCTGTGAAATGTTTAATAGAAATAATTACAATCAGATGAGTCACAGTTCAATACAAAATACTTCATCCTTCGTTGTTCAGGTTTCATGCAGTGCTGTGCAAATCTGCATATCGTGTGACAACCTATAATCAAAGAAATCAAACCAAGTAAATGGGACCCCCTGTGATGACCTGTGCTAAATATATACAAAATCAGTTATATCATCACAATGACCACTGAAAGTATAAATAACATTTCAGGAAGATGATCTACTGTATGACAGCTTTTTTGCTCCTGAGCTCCAAGTGAAAAAAAAAACTGAAATATGAGGAACAAAATCACAATGTGTCTTGATGTTTTTTTTTTTTATGACAGGTGCGGTTTCACCGAGAACTGGTTCATCATTCATGTGACACTAGGAGTGATATAATAGCTTTACTGCTTGTCACAAGGAGGAAACAGCTAAATAATCCATTTTCACGGGAATTAAAACATATTTTAATTAACAAAATGCAAAATGCCATTTCAAAGCTGTTAAGAAACATTTAAAGCCAGTACATTTTCTCAATTGGTGTGTTATTATTTTCTAAATAATATTAATATAAAAATATAATTTTCTAGTAAGCTTAAAAATAAAGTAGTTTTTGAGCATCTGTATTTATTATAATTAGCAATATAAAAAATAAAAACCACTGTTGCATGGTCAAAAAGAAATATTCATTAACTTAATTGCTGTGGTATTATTTTTTAAATAATATTTTTTTTCTAGTGAGTTAAAAATAACAAATAGTTTTTGAGCATCAATATTGAGCATTCGTGCTGTTTGCTGTTTCTTGGTTAGTAAGAAATATTTAAAGCTGGGAAATTTCCTCAACTGGTGTGGTATATTTCCGAAATAATATGAATATTATTATTTGTATTTATTATTATAATTTTTTATTTATTAATTTTTTTTGTCTAGTGAGATCAAAAAATAGCAAATAGTTTTTTAACATCAATTTTATTTTTCATAAACATTAAAAATGAAAAAGGTGGTCAGCAAAAATATTTAAAGCCAGTAAATTTCCTTAATTGGTGTGGAATGGCCAGCTATCTGTCCACACACATAATAGAGACGGTGCTAATAGCATTGAGACAAGTCATTCAGTAGACTGATGAAAAATAAAGGGTGGTGGCATAGAACAGAGAGAGAAGAGACGAGTGAAATGAGGCACTGAGCGAATCACGGAGGGGTAGGTGAGGAGACTGTGAGACACTTTGAGCTAAATGTAGTGAAGAGGATATCAGATAACCCCTGGGGCATGAAATTGCGATGTAATAGTCCTTTCAGTTCATATTCAAAAAGAAAGTCAAACCTTCTCACAGGGGTCAAGGGTTGCCAATCCACACACAAACTCTGAGGGAGACAGAAGAGGTTGTGCATGGCAGCCATCAACAAAACGGTCATATAAGCTTAAACTCAATTACATTTCACTGAAAGGAAAGCAGGATGGACTTCCTATATCAGCAGCTTTCAAATCTATATTTTCATCTCAGCTCTCATTTACATGTGTATTGTTAGCGTAGGGCTGGAAACGTGTTTTTTTTTTTATATTTAAATAACACGCAAAGTTCTGCAATTGAAACTAATTACTCTCCAATAAATGAACACTTTGAAGTGAGCCCTTTTGAAAACACAAGCTCTGCTTTTGGGATGTTATTTTTGCAGGCCAGGACAGAGCGGAAAGCACAGCTGAAGCAGGTCACCCACTTACACCCCAGTGTTGACTGCTTTACTGAGAGCCGCAGATATGAATCAATGCCAGTCACTCAATTCCCATCAATCAGTTCTCATCAAAAGCAACAACATCAGAGAGATTAGCCACTTCAACTAGAAAATTAACACTAATACTCAGTGAGCATCAATCATGAACTTAATACAATTATGTATTAGGAAATTATGATATTACATTTTGATCAGATAATACAATACATTTTTTAAATATTAAAGTCCCCCTGTAGTGAAAATCAAGTTTTTTTATGTTGTTTATTTGTCTATATGGTGTTTTTAATATGCCTTTAGACAAACCATGTGCCAATCTATTAATCAACACCATTACTGAGTATTTTCTCCTTAAAAGTGTAGTTTCCCAAAGGCTGACCCAGAAATACGGTTTGAAACAGCCCTCGGTTTGCTACATCACAAACCAATAACCAATCACGTCAAGGGATCGATTCCTATCACTAGCATGCAAAATATACCAATACCAGCAAAAAAACAAAAATAAATTAAAGCAAAAAACCCACAAAGCTGTGGTTTAATGTGAATTTAGAACCGCTAACTTGCATTATAACCCGTGGCAACAGTGTAAAAGTAGCCACTCTTATAGTGTCACTCTTATAGTTTTGAATGGGGAAAAATGCAAAGCTCAATATGGCCGCTCTATTGAAGGAAGCCCCGCCTTTTGAGTAAAAGAGCCAATCGCTAATCGGTAAAGTCAGTGCGTCACTGCATCTGCATCTGAAACTGTCAGAGTTCTGAGACGTGAGCTCAGGACTGCACATGTGCACTGGCTCGTCTAGCCTGAAAAATAAGCTTTTTTGACGCTATTTGAGCAAAAGAAACAACACTTATGAGACTTCATATGAAATTTAATCTTAAGCTTGGCGAACAGCTTTGGAGAATTTGATGTTACCCCATTCAAAGAAATAGGAGCTGCACTTGCATGCCCCGAGAGGCGTTTCAAAGATGGCCGCTGAGTGAAATGGCTTTTCTTAAAGGGACTTTGTTCTGTTTGCACCTATATCTTTATTTGTGCATCTTTGAAGTACATGATTGTTCGTTAATAAACGGGGATGTTGTGTTTAGGACGCGCTTCAACAACATATTTGCAATGTGCATCTTTGTCCTTATTTTTTATCTTTATTGTTAATCCTTAAATGTATATTGATAAGAAATGTGATTTATATAATTAAAAATGTGTATAGGCTAATTTAATTAAGTGATTAAGTTTTAATCGCATTTTTTTTTTTTAAATCAAAC